CATACATACATACATACATACATACATACATACATACATACATACATGCATACTTACATACATACATACATACATACATCTTCTATCCATCCATCCATCCATCCATCATTCATCCACCCACCCATGTATCCATCATCCATTTATCATCCATCCAGCATTCATCCACCCACACATCATCCATCCATCCATCATCCATCCATCCATTATCCACCCATCCATGCATCCATTCATTCTGCCATCCATCCACCCACCCATGCATGTGTCATCCATCCATCCCTCCCTCCCTTCCTTCATAAACACTTCTTTGTTTGGAGTTTAAAGGGTTAATTTTGAGCATCACACTTGCTCTCCCAGTGATTTGACAGATATTATTGTTAATATTATTTCTGCGTTATTCTGCAGTCTTAGTGTGTGATATCCATTTGAACCTGTGTGAACCTTATTGGCACAGGTCTCCAGAGTGAACGTGACTCATACCAAACCTGACAGAAGTGAAAACAATCATGTCTTTTGTTTTTTTAATTAGAAACAAACCAGCTCGTTCTTGAGATGTCATAATATTTGCTCAGCTAACTGCGGGACGATTGATGCGTGTGATGTTGGCGTGAGGAGTTGCGGGACATGTGTGAGCTGAAGCAGTGTTTCAGGAACAGAAACAATGTATTTTAGGAATGTGTAGCTACACATGCCTCAGAGTTTACTGAAATAAGAACATCACTTGGTACCTTGTTGTCAGAATCAGTATTTAACCCTTTATTCTGCTGAAAAGTTCCCAACTGAACGCTGCTTTACATCCACTCTAATACAATCTATTTATTTATCATTTGTTCGCCCAATTTATCAAATTAAAACTTTAAACACTAAATGATACAACAGGCTTTTAGAATACAATACAACTTATTCAGTTATACAGAATACTTATACTTATATGCATTCTTATAATACTGATACGGAATACAACTTGTTAAGTTATTGATTCATTTTCTATTTTATTGTGTGTGTTTGAAGTCTCTAAACATAAAAAAGATCAAATCAATACCTTTAACTAAACTTCCTTTTTGCTTTCTTTGCTTTCTCCTCTCAGGCAGCCATGCCAAAGTGGCTATATGGATAATTTATGTTTTTTTTTACCTGGATTACTGAGCATGAACTTTGATGTTTTGAAGTACTTTGGCCATGGCTGCGTCAGAGGAGTTGACGGGGGAGAGGGCGGACTCTAGAAACCATCTTATCACCGTCAAACTTGTTGGTCCACTCTAAGTAAGCCACTTATGGGACTGAGTTTGTTGTGGCTCCTTGGACTGATGAAGTCCTTTGGATGAAGGGCGAAACGTCTTAACATAAAGAAACCATCCAGATGACCTGACTGAACGTTGTCATAAAACCATTGCAGATTTTCACTTGACTTCGCAGCCATAGTGCCTTTTTTAGAGCTCCTCGCAGCACGTCTGTGTCGTCACATTCAAGCGGACGACCTGAACACTTCTTCCTCTGTTGGCTTCCAGTGTTTGTCCCTAAATGGAGAGGAGCCATCTTGGTCAGATAAGACAAATCTAATCTCCCTAGGTCACGTGTTCCTTATAAATACGTGACGACGTTCCCTTTCTTGCACGTTCAGCCCCTCAAGAACACAGTGGCGTTGATGGTTGCTGTATGCGAAAACAACAAATCCTTTTTTATTGTCTGACCCTTGTAGCCTGAGCCTGTTTGTTTGAGTCTGAGCCGTCGATCAGCCTCAGGTGACCAGAGTAATTCTGACAGAAGAAAGCTCTTTGCTCAGACGTTGCTGATTGACTGACATTCCTCCCTTCGCTTTATCGCAGTGTTTTTGAGCTGCGACACGAGAACGGGAAGTTAAAATGCATTGAGCTGAGCTGAATACAGCACCTCAGACTGAAGAAGTCTTTCGGATGAAAGACGAAACGTTTCTACATTTTTTTGGTTGTTTTTGGGGTTTTTTTTATGTCCAGACGACCAGATTTAACTTTTTTAGATTAAAATGAATTGTTTTTATTTTTTTTTCCTTTCTTCTTTTGTCCGTTTGAGCCGAGACACAGATAGGAAGCAAAGGTAAAAATCATCTGTAGACGATGCTCTCTGTTCAGGCCTGACAGCCACACAGCTTTTTTGATCCACTATGAGCCATAGAGGGAGTCGAGCAAAATGAAACCACTATAATCCAAATTGTCAATTTGTAGGAGTTAGTTAGCTTCAAACAAGGTTTAGCTTTAGATTTTTACCAAATATACTTGAACTATTGCCAAAATGGACCAATGAAAACTCACATTTTACAGCATTTCTTTTAATTTATTACTGTTTTTTATGAAAATATGCTAAAATTAATGTATTTTTTGTTTATTTTGTACAATTTCTGCTCTTAGGACCCCAGAACTAACGTTTTTGTGACACACAGTGGGTTCCCAACCCGAAATTTGGTAACCACATTTGTAGAAGAGTTAAAATGAGTGCAGGATAATAAGAGTGAAAAAAACTTGTATGAATAAGACTTTTTCTTTCATCGGGCTCATTACAAAGTTTTGTTATGTTGCACATGAATTAGATCTACTGTGCAAAAGTTGCTTGAAGTTTATATACATATATGTAAATTTATCAGATGCAGTAACCCATTTTTTTTCTGAACAAAAATATTATTTTCTCTCTTTATGTGCACAAAAATGAATGTTTTCCAGTTGTAGAAAATGGTGAATGCAAATAATAATCTAAAGCACAAAAAATGGGCAAAAAACGCATATTTAAGGTGTTCAATGAGCATTGCATGGTCACAAGAAGTGCAAATCTGTAATTTATTACAAACATTTGTTCAGTTACATCGTTTCAAACAAAATAAATCACAATCAGTCACTGAGGAGAGCAGGATCCCTCTGCTGGGGTCAGGAACATCAGTGTCGGTTTTCTGGATGCGCCCTTTTAAAAACCGAACTTCACACAGACCCCAGAGAGAGATGTAAGCCGTTGCACACGCACACGCACACAGTAGAAAAATAGAGTGATCACCAACTGAAGCCAGATTCAATTGATTCAACACTTTTCCATACAAAACAAATCGGAGCAATCACTGGCACGCGCATCTCAACAGCCTGGCTCGAACATATTCAGCCTCTGCGCGTCCAAGAGATGAAGCGTCACGTGCCATGAGTTTTAGCAGCATCGGGTATGGTTTGTGTTGGAGCAGGATGCGCGCATCACCTTACACGCACAGAACTGCAGACTGTGCCAGCTCCTTCCTGTACTCCTCCAGCCAGCTCCTCAGCTCAGCGAGCCGGTACCCCTCCGGACCCCTGCCCCCCTGGTACACCACCCTTGCATCCATCACGATGTAGAGTCTCTCAAAGTAGGCTCCGTACGCGGCGTTGGACGCGTTGTCCATGCTGTCCACCACCACGTTGCTGCCGGGCACCTCGGAGAGCATCAGCTGCGCGGCTCGGAGCCGGTCCTCCAGGCACCGGTGCTTGGGGATCTGGTACGGCGCGTCCGAGCTCACCCAGCCGTCCGACGGGTGCGCCTCCTCGATGTACACCACCAAGAAGTCCGCGATGTCCGCGTACTGGCGCATGACGCGCTGGAACGCGGCCAGACGCGTCATGAACGGCGGTCAGGAGCAGCTGCCGAAGTTGAGGATGAGCGGTCTCCTGCCCTTCGTGCAGTCCAGGAGCCGGACCGGCCGCCGCTCCTGCACCAGCACCACCTCGGTGTTGGGCGCATCCTGACCCAGGTGCGCCGATTTGAGAAAGTCCAGTTTCTGGCCGTGCCACACGGCCCGCAGCGACTCCCACGTGAACATCCTGTTGGAGTCGGACACGCACAGCGGCGGGTCGTCCGGGCCGTCCTGCATTCTCGGCAGCACTTTCCTCCGGATGCACAGGAAGTCCAGGAGCCAGAGCATGAGGGCGGCCAGCAGGAACCGGGGCAGCAGCATCACGCACAGCGCGGCGTGCTTCAGCGCGCGAGCCACCTGGACTCCCCCGGAGTCGTCCATCCTCTTTTTTTATTTTTTCCTTTCACGGAGAGGACGACAGGGACTCAGCTGAGACACTCAGTCACCTTTAGCCATTGAAGAAAACATTTCTGACGCACGCAGGCACGCACTCCTTTTATAGGTACCAGCGCCGCCCACTCACATGGCGGGGATTACCTCCCGTCAACTCTGGGCTTCAGACACGGGGGGTGGGGGTGCCCAACGGTGCAGAGGTCCAAAAGGAGAAGGCTCCTTGTTGACCCGTGTGTGTGTGTGTGTGTGCGTGTGTGTGTGTCCATGTCTTGTTCCACATGAGCGTCTCTCTCTCCAGTTCTTGCGCACGAGCTGTCAGTCCTGAGCGGGATTTCACTGCGCGTCAACCTGTGACCTCCTCCTGGTGAAGGCTGATCAATCAGCCACGAGGAGGCGCTGCACACACACGCACAGGACGCGCATCAAGCCTCAGCCAGCAAATTTGGACCTGCAGATTCGTGTGAGTGTGTGCGCGAGCGCGCACTGGCGAGCTGATTTCAGGGCAAAGTCACTCAGGAACTGCATTTCCACTTGTACAGAACACATCTTTGTATGAGCTCCTGGCAGGGTGTGAATGAAAGTTAACAAGCATGTGTTCTTTGCAGCCATTTCTCTCCCTGGTGCTCTGTGTAATTAGACTCTTCTAATTGTCTCTTGTTTTCTTGTCATCTGGACGTTTCTTGTGTTGTCTTCGTGTGTTCTTGGTTTGTTTGGTAAACAGAACTTTAATTGATTCAAACGTGGAGTTATCAAATCGCCTGGGCTTAGGGTCGTCCCCTCCACAAAGACATAAAAAGATGGCGGAGCGATGCTCGCTTTGACCCTAACGCATTACCTCACCCCGAAACTTTCCACCACCTAGCAGGTGTTAACGAAATGGAAACCATGTGACCCATGTGGGCTCTGTTTTGTGAACAATACCAGTATTTGTCCAGTCATCTCTGTCCCAGTTGCACCATCAGTGTGGAGAAGGATGCTGCAGATCCAGATCTGCACTTGCCCTGATTTGCCCTGAAAGTTCACAGTTGTCTGTTTTTTTTTTTTTTTCTGGATTCAACGCGTGTTATCGTTGGCAGATTCATCCTGATTCATGTTTGTGTTTGGCCCAGTTGCAAGTTTAAGAAAACAATTGGCAGAAGCTACAGAACGGTACCTGCAGTTCCAGCAATTACTGCATTTAGGCGTCAGTCCTTTGTTTTCTCATGAACTTGAGCTGGTCGTGATGCAAGAGCGCCTGGTTCTTGTGTTACAGCCTATTGGTTGTTTGGCATCGCTGTCGTGACAGTTGGATAAGACCTGTCAGTAAGTCAAGTCATGCACAGCTGTTTGCTAAATGTTCCTTGAAGTGACATTTTCAGCTTGAATTACTTTGTATCCAGACTGTCCTGCTCTCAGATAAGAGGCGATCCTTTTGTCTCCTTGCGATTTCCAAAACAATTCCATGTTAACAAGAGAAAACAGTTCGAGGTCAGAATACCTTGAAGTAGTCAGGTGTAGAAAGCGTTCAACTTTACCTGACGCTTTTTTGTGAATATGAATAGGACTCCATCCATCCATTAGGGTGGTTGTGGCTGAGTGGTTAGAGCAGTCGTCTTCCAGTGCAAGAGTTGGGGGGTTGACTCCACCAGCCGCCATACGCCAAAGTGTCCCGGCAGGACACTGAACCCCTCATTGCCTCCAATGTGTGTCCCATTTGTGTATGAATGTACTAAATCACTATTTTTTCTCTTTAGAATGATTTGTTCAATTAGCTTTGTATAGATCTAGTAGAGTGCTGTATGAATGGGTAAATGAGGCACAGTCCATTCCATTTGCCCACTTCGTCCTTTCTGGGTCACAGTCCATATCCAGCAATCACTGTGTGAGATGGGGGACACACTGGAAAGGTCTCCAGTCCATCACAAAGACACGTAGAGACAAACGAGACAACCTTTCACTCTCTCACTCACACCTAGGGACAATTTAGAGTTACCAATCAGCCTAACATGCATGCTTTTGGTCAGAAACTGGAGTACCTGGAGAAAACCCACGCATTCATGGAGAGAACATACAAACTCCACCCAGAAAGGCCCCCCAGCCAAGATTCATTCTGGCAGCCTTCTTGCTGAGACAACAGCTCTATCAACTGAGCCACCAACTGTGAGATAAATATATGTTGAAATATGTAATGATTTGTAAACACGACGTTTTATTGTTGCAAGAGAAAGTTTTGAAACTTCAGAGTGAGCTCACATTAATCAGGGATGTTTCAAGACAATCACACGTGTCAGATCAGGCGATAGATGAGGACTTCATTATTGATCCGCGTCCCCGCTGAACTCATAATACTGTCTGTGGGTTTACTCCAGCCAAGCTGCAGTATGGCTGCTGTTGTGATGCAATGCAACACGCCAACATGTCTGCAGCGCTCAAAATGAGAGCATGTCAGGAGCTACTTGCAACTTTTGCAACTCAGGTGTTTCTCGTGGCGATAGAGCTACATTCCGTACAGCTAATTTAATTAGATGTTTCAAGTCCAAGAACTGGGTACACCCAGTTCACCCTATTCTTAAAGGCCAAGAAACAAACTCAGTAGGCAACGCTAAAGAGAAAGGATGACAGAAATGGTGGATGGTGACAGACTTTATCACTTCCAATGACTAATCTACCGCTGCAGTGCAGAAAATATGATTTATGGTATTTGCCTTTTGAAGTCTTGGTACATCCTGCACTACGTAACTAAGCACCTGCTTTGAATGTTATCACCCATTAAATGGCTGTTTTCAGTTGTTATCCCCATAGGCTGCCTTCAGACCGTCCCTCCTGTACCTCCTAGTGGGCTCAGTAGGTTGTTATCACATATTTATAAGGTAAAGGTTAGGGTTAGGGTTATATCTGAACATAATTATAGTACTTAATATATTGAATTGATCAGAATTTCACTCATATAAAAAAATAACCTTTATATCCTCTCAAGTGAGTTCTTTTTAGATTCATTCATTCATTCAATCTTTATTTAGACAGCTTAATCCCATTGAGCCTCGGGGACTCATTTACAAGATAGACCTGATTTCAACAAAGACTGACGACAACAAAGACAACAATAAACAATCATAAAGGGTGCGTACAAATTGAGAATAACAAGTGAAAATAAAATGGTATTAAAAAATGTAACCAAAAAAAACCCAAACAGCTAGGTTGTAAGGCGATGTAAAAAAATTAAAAACAAGAACATGTCTGCATTGGTTTTTCCCATGAATTTAGCGGGCCCCCAAGAGGGCCGGCAATGGAGGAGGGTGGTGTGCCAAAGACACCATCTTAGCACCAACATAACTGGTTTGTTCCACTTTGGAGTAAGCTGTTGGGGGAAGAATCAGTGTTGTTGTGTTTCCTTGACTGATGAAGCCTTCAGGATCGAAGGCGAAACGTTTCAGCACAAAAAAAGAAACTGTCCAGATGACCTGACTGAAAAATGTTGGATTGTATACCTGGATCATTGAGCATGTACTTTGTTGTTTGTTGCTATATCTGCACAGCATCAAAGATCAGTGGGGATGTGGGAAAAACAGTCACGGGAACACATCCAATATACCTTTATTTCACTTTGTCCAGTCTCCTGGGATCCACCCAAAAAAAAAAAAGTCCACTTAAAAAAACACTAAGTAGAAATCTCAGTTTTTCTCACCAATAAACTTGCACATGTTCAAACACAGCAGGTTTTGTTTGGCAAAAATATCCATCTGAGTCTGGACCGGGCTTGAGTCTCGTGTTGGGGAAACATACGGTATAAGCTTTTTTTCAGACAAGAACTTTTTTCTATTAACTGGACGGAAACTGAAAATCTATTTTATTTACCTGCATCTTCCTTTCTGGGTTGCAGGTGCTGCAGGTGCTGCAGGTGCTTATCTTAATAATCACTGTGTGAGAGGTGGGGGACATCCTGGACAGGTCTCTAGTCCATCATCATCATCATCATCCTTTACTTTATTTCAGACACAATATAAGATCCATATAGAAAACATAAAAACATAAAAAACAGCAAAAACACAGAGTTAAAATTTTTTTCTATAAAGGCTCAAAAGCCAATGAGTCCATAAAGTAGAAAAGTATCGCACAGAGCTTAGTCCAGGGTTGGTCAGAGTAGCGATGATACAGTTTTCAGATTCAGACAACCTACACATGCATCTATACATGAGGTTACGCAGCACCACAGGGCAGGTAGGCACACCTGCATCTACAAACATTTTGCTTGCACTGCCCCATCGAGGTACCCTTAGTAGCATCCTCATGCCATCATTATATGCCACATTTAGTCTATACATACTGCTCCTTTTATAACGACTCCACAGGTGAGCGGTATACATGGGAGTGCAGTAGGCCTTAAAGAGTCGGATCTTAACTGATTTTGAGCACAGTCCAAACCTTCGTATCAGCATGTTAGCTTGTCCATAGAGCATACGACCTTGTCTGTAAATGTCTCTATCATCTGACAGGTCTGCAGTCACATAGTGCCCCAAGTATTTACATTCATTACTGATTTTCAGCCCGTTGCCCGACAGAAAGAAATCAGGGAACATCAACTTGGAGTCCTCTCTGCTCCGCACAATCATGATGCTGCTTTTCTTAGAATTATATTTTATATCAAAGTCTCTTCCATAATCGGAGCACAGCTGCAGCAGCTCTTGCAGGGCAGCAGTATAAGGACAAAAAAAAAATCACTAAATCATCAGCATACATTAAGTGGTTGATGATCCTGTTACCAACCCTACAGCCTGTTCCACAGTCATTTAAGAGCTTTGACAGATTGTGCTTGTACACATTAAATAAAAAGGTCACATAGAGGGACACATAGAGACAAACAAACATTCTCTTTCACACCTAGGGACAATTTAGATTTTCCAGTTAACGTAACTTGCATGCTTTTAAACTGTGGTAGGAACCTTGAGCACCCAGAGAAAACCTGCACATGCACGGAGAGAACATGTAAACTCCATCCAGAAAGGTCCCCG